TACTTGACCTCTGATGTCCACACATATTGTATGGCAAGTGTACACTCTCACATATAGACAAATGATTGAATGTAAAGTTTTTGGTTTTTCTTTCTTCCTTTTTTAAAATTTAAATTAGAAACAAGCTTGTTTTACATGTCAATCCCAGTCCCCTCTCACTCCCCTCCTCCCATGCACCTCACAAACGCCCTATCCCATCCCATTTCCACTCCCCAGGCAGGGTGGGGCCTTCCTTGGGGGGATCTTCAAAGTCTGTCATATCATTAGGAGCAGGGCCTAGGCCGTGCCCCATGTGTCTAGGCTGAGAGAGCATCCCTCTGTGTTAAATGGGCTCCCTAAGTCCATTCATATACTAAGGATAAAAATCCACTACTAGAGGCCCCATAGATTTCCCAGACCTCACAACTGAAACCCATGTTCAAGGGGTCTGGAACAGTCCTATGCTGTTTTCCCAGCTATCAGTCTGGGGCCCATGAGCTCCCCCTTGTACAGGTCAACTGTTTCTGCAGCCTGGTCTTGACCCCTTTGCTCATCACTCCTCCCTCTTCGCAACTAGATTCTAGGAGTTCATCTCTGTTTAGCTGTGGATGTCTGCTTCTGCTTCTATCAGCCACTGGATGAAGGCTCTAGGATGACATATAAGGTAGTCATCAATCTTATTATCAGGGAAGGGCATTTAAGGCACCCTCTCCACTAATACTTAGATTGTTAGTTTGTGTCATCCTTATAGATCTCTGGACATTTCCCTAATACCAAATTTCTCTTTAAACCTATAATGGCTCCCTCTATTATGGTATCTCTTTTCTAGCTCTCTTCTATTATTCCCCTGACTTAGTCTTCCTGCTCCCCCATGTCCTCCTCCCACCTCTTCTTTGCCTCTTCTCTTTCTCCTATCTCCTTCTCCCCTCCCCCATGCTCCCAATTTGCTTAGATCTCATCCCTTTCCCCTTCTCCAGTTTCCTCCTTGTTCCATGCCTTCTCTGGCAGTGTGGATTGTAGGCTGGTCATCTTTTACTCTATGTCTAAAATCCATGTATGAATGAGTGCATACCATGTTTGACTTTTTATGACTGGGTTGCCTTACTCAGAATGGTTTCTTCTAATCCCATCCATTTGCCTGAGAATTTCAAGATTCCATTGCCGGGCGCCCCCCCCCACTAACTAATAATCCATTGTGTAAATGTACCACATTTACTTCATCCATTCATCGATTGGGTTCTGGCTACTACAAATAATGCCGCTATGAACATAGTTACACATATGTCCTTGTTGTATAAATGTGCATCTTTTTGGTATATACCTAAGAATGGAATTGCTGGTTCTTGAGGTACACTGGTTCCCATTTTCCAGAGAACCCGCCATACTGATTTCTAAAACTTTGCACTCCCACCAGCAGTGGAGGACTGTTCCCCTTTCTTCACATCCTCTCCAGCATAAACTGTCATTAGTGTTTTTGATTTTAGACATTCTCACAGGAGTAAGATGGTATCTCAGAGATATTTTGATTTGCATTTCCCTGATGGCTAAGGATGTTGAACACTTTCTTAAGTGTCTTCCAGACATTTTTGATTCCTCTATTGAGAATTCTCTATTTAGTTCTTTACCCCACTTTTTACTTGGATTATTTGGTGTTTTGGTGACTACCTTCTTGAGTTCTTAATATATTTTGAAAATCAGCCCTCTGTCAGATGTGGGATTGGTGAATATCTTTTCCTATTTTGTGGGCTGCTATTTTGTCTTGTTAACTATGTCCTTTGCCTTACAGAAGCTTCTCAGTTTCAGTCAGCCCCATTTATTAATTGTCATTCTCAGTGTCTGTGCTACTGATGTTATTTTCAGGAATCAGGCTCCTGTACCAATTTGTTCAAGGGTACTTCCCAATTACTCTTGTAAGAGGTTCAGTGTGACTGGATTTATGTTGAAGTCTTTGATTCATTTGGCTTTAAGTTTTGTGCATGGTGATAGATATGGATCTATCTGCAATCTTCTATATACCAGCTTCCAGTTATATCAGTATCATTTGTTGAATATGCTTTGTTTTTTCCATTATATACTTTCAGCTTATTTGTCAAAAATCAGGTGTTCGTAGGTGTATGGGTTAATATCAGTGTTTTCAATTCCGTTCAATTGGTCTACCTGTCTATTTTTATGCAAATATCAAGCTGCTTTCAGGGCTATAGCTCTATAATAGAGCTTAAAGTCAGGGATGGTGATGCCTTCAGAAGTTCCTTTATAGTACAGCATTGTTATGGCTATCCTGGGTCTTTGATTTTTCATATAAAGTTGAGTATTATTCGTTCAAGGTCTGTGAAGAAATGTGCTGGGATTTTGATAGGGATTGCATTGAATCTGTAGATTGATTTTTGGCAAGAATGCCATTTTTACTATGTTGGTCCTACCTATCCAAGAGCATGGGAGATCTTTCCATTTCCTGGTGTCTTCTTTAATTTCTTTCTTTAAAGACAAAAGTTCTTTCTATGCAGGTCTTTAACTTGTTTGGTTAGTGTTAACCCAAGATATTTTATGTTGTTTGTGGCTATTGTAAAGGGTGATGTTTCTCTGATTTCTTTCTCAGCCTATTTATTGTCTGAATATAGTAGGGCTACTGATTTTTCTTTTTAGTTCTTTAGGTATCCTGCCCTGTGGCTGAAGGTGCTTGTTAGGTGTAGGACTTCCTGGGTAGAGTTTTAGTCTCTAGTGTGACTATTCTCTAGTTTCTTCATGTGAGCACTTAGTGCTATGAACTTTCCTCTTATTACTGCTTTCAAAGAGTCCCATGTGTCTTCATTTTTATTTAATTCTAGGATGTCTTTGATTTCTTTCTTTATTTCTTCCTTCACCCAGGAATGGTGCAGTTGCGCATTGTTCAATTTCCATGAGTTTTAAGGGTTTCTGCAATTTGATTTGTTGTTGAATTCTATCTTTAAAGCATGGTGGTCAGATAAGATAGAGGGGATTTTCCTATTTTTTTATTCTATTGAGGTTTGCTATGTTGCTGAGTATGTGGTCTATTTTAGAGTATGTTCCATGTGGCACTGACAAGTAGATATGTTCTTTTGTGATTGGATGGAATGTTCTATAGATGTCTGTTATACCCAATTGGGTCATCATTTCTGTTAGTTCTTTTCTTAAGTTTCTGTCTAGTGGTCCTGTCTAGTATTGAGTGGGGTGTTGAAGTCTCCCACTATAACTGTGTAAGGTTTTATGTGTGATTTGAGTTTTAGTAATGTTTCTTTTATGAACATGGGTGCCTTTGTATTTGAGGCATTTATGTTCAGAATAGAGACATCAGAATAATGGATTTTTTCTGTGATGAATATGAAATGACATTCATCTCTTTTGATTGATTTTAGGTTGAAATCTAATTTGTTAATATTAGGATACCTACACAGCTTGAATTCTGTCTTTGTATCCATTCTGTTAGTCTGTGTATTTTTTAGGCAAGTTAACACCATTAATACAGAGGGAAATTAAGGACCATTTAGTGTTAATTCTTGTTTGTTTTGGATTTGTTGTTATTGTTGGTATAATGTGTGGATTTTCCACGAGTTTTCTTTGAGGTTTTGGTAAAGTCGGATTATCTATTATCTATGTTTTTGTAAGTGTAGTTAACTGCCTTAGGTTGGAGATTTCCTTCCAGTTCTTCCTGCAGAGCTGGATTAGTGGACTTGTATTGTATAGATCTGGTTTTCTCATGGAGTTATCTTGTTTTCTCCATCTATAGTGACTGAAAGTTTTGCTGGGTATAGTAGTCTGGGTTGGCTTCCATGGTCTCTTAGTGTTTGTAGAATATCTATCTGGGACCTCTGGATTTCAGTTTCCATGGAGAAGTCAGGTGTAATTCTGATGTGTTTGCCTTTATATGTTATTTGACCTTTTTCCTTAGCTGTTCGTAGTATTCTTTCTTTATTTTGCATGTTTGATGTTTTGATTATTATGTGGCAAGTGGACTTTTTTGTGGTTAACTCTATTTGGTGTTCTGTAAGCTTCTTGTACTATCATTAGCATGTCTTTCTTTAGGTTGGGAACGTTTTTTTCTGTGATCTTGTTGAATATGTTTTCTGCACATTTGAGTTGGGTTTCTTCACCTTCTATGCCTATTATTCTTAGGATTGGTCTTTTCATGGTGTCCCATATTTCCTGGATATTTAGTGTTAAGGATTTGTTGTATTTAAGATTTTCTTTCATCAATGAACCTATTTCCTTTAGTTCATCTTCAGTGCCTGAATTTTTCTCTTCCATCTCTTGTATTTTCTTGGTTATGCTTGCATGTGTAGCTACTGATCATTTACCCAGCTTTTCTATTTCCAGCATTCCCTCAGTTTGTGTTGCCTTTATTGTCTCCATTTCAGTTTTCAGGTCTTGAACTGTTTGAATTGCTTCCTTCATCTGTTTGATTGTTTTTTGGGTTTTTTTTTGTTTTCCTTGCTTTCTTTAAAAGATTTGTTGATTTCTTGCAATTTTTTTGTTCTTTCTTTCATTTCTTTAAGAGATTTTCTCATATCCCCTTTGAGTGCCTCTATCAGTTTCATGAAGTTGTTTTTTTTAAGGTCATTCTCTGCTTCATCTGTGTTGGGATATTCAGGTCTTGCTGCTGTTGAGTCCCTAGACTCTGGTGGTGTCATATAAGTCTTTCTGTTGTTGGATGTGTTCTTATACTGTCATTTTCCCATCTCTTCTTCCAGTGGGTATAGGTAAGGTTTCTCCCTCTCCTCATTACTGATGGGTGGAGGGGCAAGACAGGAGTGGTGACTGATGATGCTGGCTGCTTTGTTCTGTCTCCTGGTCCCTCTGGCAGATTTTTGTACCAGGAAGGGTCTGGCAGCCACAGGTCAGGTGACTGGAAGAGGGAAAGTTGTGGTTAAAGAGCCCCTGGCACACCTCTATACCAGAGGGTGAAGGGTCAATATTATTTTATAGTTTCTCTGAGAATAAGAAGACAGGCACATGAAGAATTTTTCAGTTATTCATAAATGAGGATATTTTTAATGTCATTTTAGGTGTTCATAAAGTGTCTACTCCAATTGAGAACCACCAGGAATATCACAAGGGACTTTTGTGGCAAGTTGAAATCACCAACAGCCAGACATCAAATGAAGAAATTGTTGAAGTAAGTAAAATATTTAACATGAGCTTTTAACATATTTCAATTGTAAACATAAAGATTGGAAATTAGGAGTATTTCTTCAGGAACTTTACCCAGGTCAGCAAGGTGACTCGGTTTGTAAAGGGACTTGCCACCAAGCCTAATCATCTGAATGTGATCACCATGTCCCATGTGGCAGATGGTAAAGAAAAACCCCAAAATGTGTCCTTTGACCTCCATATGTGTGTCATCGTATGCATATGTACACACAAATGTAATTTGAAAAGATGAAAGAAATTAACTGAGTAGATTAGTCAGTAAAATGCTTGATGTAGAAAATGAGAATTTGAGTTTACATCCTTAGAAGCCATAAATTAAGACATCTGTGGTGATATATATCTCAAAATAGTGCAGTGAAGTTGGAGAGATTAGAGTCACTGGGGCTTGCTGACTTATGATTACTTCCAAAGTAGGGAGCTTTGGGTCCTTTTCCAAACAAAACTAAAAATAGGATGAATAGTGATTTATGAAGACACTGAAGAGCAACCTCTAATACATAGATATACATAAACTTGTGTACACACATTTGTTACCTCCTGTACATTTACAAAGGAACTCATAGCCGAGTATCTTTCTCTTTTGGGTGATTGTTGCCAGCTGGAGAACATAATTTTTTTTCTTTTGTTCTTTTTTCTTTTTTTTGTATTTATTTTTTTCCTTTTTAAATTTAAATTTAGATTAGAAACAAGGTTGCTTCACAAGTCAGTTCCAGGTCCCTCTCCGTTTCCCTCCCCTCCTCCAGTGCCCTCCCCCAACCCCCCAATATCTTTGGGGATGTCCATAGTCTGTCATTTCATCCAGGGCAGGTCTTAGACCCTCCCTCAAGAGTTCAGGGTGAGAGTGCATCTCACATTTTTGGATGGGAGTCCAAAGTCCATGTATATACTCGGGATAAATACTGATCTACTGCCCAAGGCTCAATAGATTACCTAGGCCTCCTCACTGACACCCCCATTCAGGGGGTCTTGATCAGCCCCATGCTGGATTCCCAGGCATCAGCCTGGGATTCAAGAGTTAGCCCTTGTGGAGAACATAATTTTAATGATAATGGGAAAATTACTCTGACATCCTGATCAACTTAATTTGCCATAATCTCAGTCAAAATTGACTATGATGTTGTAAATATATTTGATCAGTGATATTGTTCAAGGCAATATTATTTATATATGAATTTTCATATTAGACAGATCTCTTGTAAACTCAGTAAATATTACAAATTTTATATGTGACATTTATGTCTATAACACAAGAACAATTCCAAGCTAATATTAGAAAGCACATTTAGGAAAAGGCCCTGTGGCTATAAGAAATATAACTAATTCCTTTGTCTTAAGGCAGAACTGAATGTGGCACAGAAATTCCACCAAAGTTCAGCATCTTATGAAGGGAAAGGATGTTTGAAGATGTTTTGCCAGCAGTCACAGGACACAGAGGATCAGAGGACACACACACATAAGAAACATTTCAGTTTTAACTCACTTCTCAACAACTGTCAGAGACTTAAAGTGGAGACACCCTGTACACATAGAGCATGCAAGAATGCATTCTCTTTGAAGTCACATGTCATTGAACAGCAGACACGTCATATAGGTGAGAAGCCATATGAAAGTTCAAGATGTGGGCAAGCTTCCCACATCAGTTCTCAGCATCAGATCACTCATACAGAGAAGCCCTACAAATGTCTGGAATGTGGGAAATATTTCTACTACAAGTCACAAATCACTGAGCATCAGAGAAGTCACACAGGTGAGAAGCCACATGAATGTACAGAATGTAGGAAAGGTTTTTACTAAAAGTCACAACTCACTCGACACCAGAGAAGTCATACAGGGGAGAAGCCCTATGAATGTATTAAATGTGGAAAATCTTTCTACTGTAACACACATCTTTCTCTACACCAGAGGATTCATGAAAGTGAGAAACCTTATGAGTGTACAGAATGTGGGAAAGCTTTCTCTTTTAGTGCATGGCTCACTCGACATCAAAGGACTCATACAGATGAGAAGCCATATGAATGCATACAATGCCCCAAAGCATTCTACTTTAAAAAACAACTTACTTGTCATCTGAAAACACATACTGCTGAGAGGCGCTTTGAATGTAAGCAATGTGGGAAAGCGTTCTACTGGAGGTCTAACCTTACTTTGCATCATAAAACTCATACTGGTGAGAACCCTTATGAATGTAAGCAATGTGGAAAAGCATTTTACTGCAAGTCCCACCTCACTGTACATCAGAGAACTCATATAAGTGACAAGCTCTATCAATGTACAGAATGAAAGAAAGCATTCTACTCTCAGACACAGCTTACTGTACATCAGAAAACTCACACTGATGAGAAGCCCTATGAATGTAAGCAATGTGGGAAAGCATTCTCCAGTAAGTCTGAACTTAATGCACATCAGAAAACTCATACAGGGGAGAAGCCCTATGAATGTAAAGAGTGTGGAAAAGCATTCTATAACAAGTATTTGCTAATTGAATACCATTGAGTTCATACAGGTGAGAAGCCATACCAATGTACAGAATGCAAGAAAGCATTCTATTGCAAGAAGTATCTTTCTCTACATCAGAAAACTCATGCAAGTGAGAAGTCATTTCATTGTGCAGAATGTGGGAAAGCTTTTTCCTGGATGTCACACCTCATTCAACATCAGAGAATTCATACAGGTGAGAAACCCTATACGTGTGAACAATGTAGGAAAGCATACTACTTCAAGAAGCAACTCACTTGACATAAAAGAACTCATAAACATGATAAATCACTGGATGTAAATAATGCAGGACATTTCATGGTAAATAAAACTTCTCTGTGTATGAAAGAACTCATAGGAGAGACCTTGTAACTCCACCCAATGCAGAAATTTTTCTTCCTGATGTCACACCTCACTCAAAGTCAAATGAGAAAGCCTAAGAATTGAAAGAATCCATGAAATCTTACTAAAGTACGTAATCAGAAAGCTTGCAGGTAAGAACCTGATTAATGTACAAACTATGGGCAATTTCTGATGTAAGTCAGATGTCACTCTGCCAGTGAACACATACCACAATGAGGCATACAACTAAGATTGTTGGAAGGGGTGGTACCATAGTGTTCTCTGTAAGAGAAGCCATACATGTGAATGTCTCCTATGAAGTTAAAAAATGTAGAAAAGCTGTGTCATTCTTCAGTTTACTTGAGTATTTTGTAGGTGAGTAATACCTAATGTAAAGAATGGAGGAAAGCTTTCTAACATTAAACTCCATGAATTCACACCTGAAAACTTATGCAGGTGTGGGGCCCGATGAAATTAAAATAGACAGTTTTTGAAATAGAATTTAGGCCTCTACATTAGCAACTTCATCTCTGATATGCCAGGTACAGCAAAAAGTACAGTGTTTTCAATTCTAGATCCTCATCCTGCAAGTTTATTGAGACACCTTAGCAACATATGTTATCATTGCATATGGTTAAAAGCCTTCTTGAAGCACCCCATGTCATCACAACCCATGTGTTTAAAACACTAAGTATATGAAGAATGCCAAAACTTTTAATTAAATTTGAAATTCATCTGGAATTAGAAACCCAACAGAGGTGATTAAGCAGGGGAATCCAATTTGAAACCATGTCAGTAGTCCATCTGAGTTTATTACAAAGATTCACCAACAAATCATAGATGTAAGGATTCTAGAAGAGGCATTCATCCATGCTCCCACCATACCAGCCGTCAGATAACTTATGAAAGTGAGAGTACATTTGAAGTTTAAAAGTGAACTTGTCTTAGTTGTGACTCAGTGGCAATAAGCATATGAATTGTGTACTATGTGTATTTACACATAAAAGTTTTGATGTGTTGTCTTAGAATGTTTACATTCATGGGGCATTTATATCAGTTAAAATTGTCTACACGTTTTAATGTCTCATCATCAGACATGAACATTTTGAATGTGTCACATTTGTATAATTGTTTAGTTTGGAGACAAAATCTTGATGTGTAGCCTTAGTGTCTTCTGGCTTCTGCATCTGCATAGTTATATACCCACACATGGAAACAGAACATGTACACACAATAGAAAAATGCCAATATTTTATGTTAGGAAATTATGTATTAGTATATATCATTGTCACATTAATGTTCAAATTAAATTAAAATGTTCAACTATAACCCAATAAAGAAACATAATAATAATAATGTTCCTTGCCAATATCCATCAGGCAAGTTTTTATTTATTTACTTATTTGTTTATTTATTTTAGGTTTTCATTCGTTATTGTAATGCTTTGGATCAAAACCATAGACTCAGGCATTGTAGGCAAGTGCTGTATCCTGAGTTATAGGTCCCTGGACAACATTTTAATGTATTTCTTGTTATCACTGGGACTTTGTGTTGAAACTAACCAATTAAAGGCCACACATACATAAGTATCTGTGCTTTATGGACATTAGAATTTATTTCCTTGAGTGGCTTTGGCATAACCACATAGAATATGTGAAGTTTGTCTAAAAATAGAGCAACTGAAGGTCAGAGTATACCTTAGTAATAGGGTATATGCCTCTGTAAATACACTTTGTAACTGTAATCCCCAGAACACATGAAGAATATACACAGATTTAAAGATAGGAAACATAGTACAAAGAGAAGGTACCAGATTTATTCTTCAAAGTCATTTCTCTGTGACCTTGACCAACTATGCTGTACATTGAAAAGTTTAAAATACTTCCCCAAGTAATGCCACAATTTGAAGATTCAGATACTCACAACATAAATACTAGGACGACACTCCATGTAGCTACACAGCACATAGTGACTATAGCCACAAATTGTTAAATCACTCAATATTTTAAAGAAGGTAAACAAAATATATAAAGCTTTTAGGAATAAATAACACATTTTAATCACAATAAAATATGCACAGTAGATAACATAAAATGAGAGACACAATATCAATGAAATAACTTTAAAGAGGGAAAAGTAAAAATGAGATAGAGTTTTGTGTTTAGCAGAGTATCCTTTAATGAACTAAGTAGAGGACACAATGCAATTAAATTTATATATGATTTTTCACAAAAAAATTAAATTGGAAATATGAGTTGCTAATAAGAATCTTTTATTACATATATGTATTGTATATATATACGAGTCCATATTCCACTGTGAGTGTGTGTGTGTGTGTGTGTTTAGGTTTGAGGGCAACTTCCTTTGAACCTCCAAATTAGTAATAAGCATTTTTCCAGATGTAATTAAGCTAATTACCAGGATGTGAATGATGTCATCTTGGATTTTAGAGATGAACCCTAAATCAAATCATACTGTCCTCATTAAGAGACACAGGAGAAGTGGTGTGACGAATTCCTGTGTTCTTAGCTACTCTGCTGGCCAAGCCAGTAGTTTCAAAAGTTGAAGGTCAGTCTGGACTACTTTCTGACAAGAGAAAGTACAAGACGTGGCTGGGAAAATAGAGCATGATAATCTAAACAATTAGGCGGTGGAAGCAATGAGATCAAAATTTAAAATCATCCTCCAGTATAGAATGAGGTCCATGCCAGCATGATCTTGGTGAGACCCTATCTTTAAAAGAATTCTGAACCCAATCAAATAAAGGTTTTATTATTTTTTGGTTTTTTTTATTTTTTCTTATGATTACCCATCCCCAACTAAAGTATAGCTCAGAAACACAAATACTTGGGAACACTATTGTAACAGGTGTCCCTGGGAAGAGGTCAAAATAATAACAGTGGATATATAATGAAGACAATGACTTTCTTCTCCCAGAATATTTTTTCACAGTAGGTCACATCACTGGGACAGAATATCAAGGCCATCACTGAATTCTAGGATAAAAAATAATCACCCTTAACTCAGTGGCTTGGGTCTGTCTTAAAACTTGCTCACAGTATGAAGTGACCACTGGAAACTATTTTAACAGTAAGTCCCAATCACATGTCCAATCTGCAATGTATGTTACCATGGAGTTACCTGCCAAACTCAAAAGCTCAAGTATCCTGCTCCAGTGAGCCTGTGAGAGCTTTCTCTAACAAGATCCAAGAATGTTTTCTTCCATTCTACGTTCTGTAATACTTTTGCATGTTCCTTTTCCCTATTCTTTTGATGTCCTGTATAATGGATCCTATATCAGGAATCCACATGGACCTCTTCTCCAGAAGACCTAAGACTATTCCTGGACTAGGGTTCATATTTACTGAGTTAATTACCCACTCCATAGCTGCAGTCAGTGAAAACATTGTTGGGTTCCCATATAGAACTTGAGGTTCTTCTCATCCTGATTATTGTTGTCACAGTCATTACCTGTCTTCCTAAAATTAAACTACATTGCCACATTTTTTGTTTAGAAACAATCATTATACATACCCCCCCTGTTCCCTCTCTCTCTCATCCTCCCATGTCCAACATCTACTTCCCCAACCTAGCCCCCACAAGCTCCCCAAGGATAGTGAAGCCTTCCATGGGGGATAATTAAGGTCTGTCATTTCGGGGAAGGCCTAGGCCATCTCCTTGTATCTGGGCTGAAGTAATACCCTCCATAGGGACTGGCCTCCCAAAATCCATTTGTGCGCTAGTAATAAATACTGCTTCCACTGTTAGAGGTCCCATAGACTTCTCAGGCCTCCTAACTGGCACCCACATTCAGAGGGCTTGGTTTGGTTCAATGCTGGTTGCCCAGCTTTACAACTGGTGTTCCTGTGTTCTCACCAGGTCAAGTCATCTATCTGTGTTGTTTTCTCCAGCACAGTCTTGACTCCTTTGCTCGTCCCTCTCTACAGCTGGATTCCAGGAGTATGGCTTAGTGCTTAGCTGTGGGTGCCTGTTTCTGCTTCCATTAGTTACTAGATGAAAGCGCTAGGATGGCGATTAAGGTAGTCATCAATCTCATTATAGGGGAAGGGGATCAAAGGCGGCCTCTCCACTGCTGCCTACAGTGCCACATGTAATCAGTATGACTTTTATTATCCTGCTACTCCTGTCCCTGACCATACAACCAATATTCCTACCACTTTCCCAAAAGGCCCATGATAACGCAAATGTTCTTCAGTCCTTCTGGAGGACTTCTGCATTTTTCCATCTCTAATGCCTAATTGGACTGGTGGTGATTAGCAAGAATTTTTCAAATAAACCAGATTGGGTGCTGGAGAGATGACTCCCTAGTTTAACAGCAGTGGCTGTTCATCCAGAGGACCCAGGTTTGGTTCCTAGGACACATACAATGGCTAACAACTCTGTATAAACTCCAGTTTCAGATGTTCTGGTAATCTCTTCTGGTCTCTGTGGATATCAGGTATGCATGTAGTGCATATATATAGCTAAATCTTACAAATAAAGCAAATTTATAATCTTACTAATTCCAAAACTTACTGGATACAAATGACTACAAAGATGTTTCCTTACATCTCTTCCTTTGTCAGTTAACTGTTCAGTCTTGTCATATATTGAGCTTCTGAGCTAGGTCTCCATTTGTATTAAGTCTATTCTCACAAGCAACTGTCATCATTCCATGATATAGGACACAAAGAAGGTAACTTAAAAAAAATCCTTAATTGCTGCACAACAGAAGTATATACTATCAGAATCCCCGACAAAACTATTATGTAAAAATTCAAGCCTTGTTTATGTTGAACCTATCTTTGAAGGATTTTTACCTCCTTAAAAAATTAAAGTTGTCTCCCACATACTGGAGAGATGACTCAGTGGTTAAGAGCACTGTGTGTTCTTCCAAAGGACATGGGTTCAGTTCCCGGCACCCACATGGCAGTTCACAACTGTCTGTAAGTCCAGTTCTAGTGATCTGACACCCTCACATAAACATAATTGAAATGCAAAACACAAATGCACATAAAATAAAAAGAAATTATTTAAAAATTGTGTCTCACTCTAGTAAACACCAGGGTTTTCAAAATAGAGATCAAGCAATTACACCTATTTGGGGAATTATAACAGCATTTGGACACCAAATCTAACTTCAACCCTAACCCTAACCCTAACTCTGCTATTTCTTTTGTGCCCAAACATGTTCCTTTTCTGGAATAATTAATCATGTACTTTAAAAAATTTATTTTATGTGTTTGGATGTATTGCCTGAATGTATATTACCAGATACTTGCCTGGTTCCATTGAAGACCAGAAAAGGGCGATAAGTTATGTGAAACAGTTACAATTGTGACCCATCATGTAGGTGCTAGTAATTGAACCCAGTGTTCCTTTACTGCTGAGATAACTCTTCAACCCCATTAGCCATTCATCTTTTTACTTGTGCATTGCCACATGTCTTAGTTACTTTTCTGTTGTTATGATTAAATACCAAACAACTTGTAAAAGAAAATGTTTAATTTAGGTTTGACAGTTGCAGAGGGTTTTACAGTCTGTGACTACTATACATGATAACAGGCATGTAGGCATGGTGTTGAAGTAGTTGATAACTTATGTCCCTATATAAAAGTAGGAAACAGAGAAACAGATGATGGAGATTTTGAAAATTCAAAGACCATGACCAGTGGCACATCTCCAACAAGCTCATATCTCCTAATCCTTCCCAAACAGTTCCACCAACTGGGGACCAAGTATTCATGACCTACAGGGGCCGTTGTTGTTCAAATAACCTCACTACATGTCTTCTGAGGACCCTTTCTCTTCTGTGAAATCATGTCTTTTCCTATCTATTGACTTTTTAGACTAGCATTTTGCACAGCATAGTACTTAGTGGACAAATGATGAAATATCCCAAAGAAAATAAGCATCCTCAAGGAGTTTGCATTTCAATCCAAAGTTTATTAATTATTCAGCAAGCACCATAGGACAGTAGAAGAAACTACCAGAAATATAAAACTTGGGGCTAGGTCACCCCTGAGATCTTAGTACTGGAGAAGCAGGTAGTACATGAGTTTGGCATTAGCAAGAAACAGAAAACCCTATTTTAAAAACACAAAATGGGGAAAGCCAATCTCATTTCTAGTTGGAAAAAAAGCATTGTGTTTTGCATTTGCCAGTGTCTCTGCATAATCAAGTTTTTGCAGATTTAAATGTTAAAAATAAAAGAGTGCTAGAAGCTATAGGCAGATGATTTAAGGAAATACTAGGCAAGAAGTTTTATATAAGTGGTGGCTCTGGCTTACTCCTTTGTGTCTCTTATCATTCAGCATTTACTCTCTATGTCTGACTCTTGGATTTTAGGATTAAAACCAATGAGAACTAGTGATACACTCTGCCTTAGTTCCTTGGTGCTAGAATGGATGATATGAAACCACATGACCAGCTAAAAGAGATTGTTTTCTGTTTTTTTTATTTTTAATCTCTTTCAATGTATGTATGTGTGTTTACCTTTGGAAACCAGAGAATTCAGATTCCCTTTCAGCTGACTGTGAGCTGACATAAGTATTAGGATTTGGTGTATGGTCTTCGTTCTCTTAACCAC